GAAGATTTAACGGCTATCTTCTACCGTTCCCCCAAGGATTTCAAAGGCTATCCTTGAACCTTTACCCAAGGATTTATACGGCTATCCTCGACCGATACAATATGAGAATTTAACGGCTATTCTCGACCGTATAAAGATGTGTTTGAAAAACACAAACAAGAGTTCTACACAACGGCTTGAATATAAAAATGAAGAACAAAACTTAGCCGGTGTAGAAGGAAATTATACTCTCTCAAAAATACAATATAAACTTATGAATATGAGAGTATATAACTAGAAACACAAGCTCAAAGTGTGTGTATAAAAATTAGGAATTTAAGGCTCTTAAAATAGCCAAAATATTTAAAATAATTAATAAAAGGATGAACACACTTAGAATAGAAAGAGAGGATGTTTAGATCTTTGTTTCTTGAAAAAATATGAAGGATTAGGCTTGTATTTATAGTGGAAGATGTTAATTAGCCGTTGAGAGGTGATTAGGATTGATTAAATTCAAAATCACAAATCAGGAGTAGTAATCCAACGGTCACGGTAGGGGGGTCCCGTCCATACGGTAGGGGGGTCCCGTGCTTACGGTAGCTAGGTACCTTCTCAGGCCAAAACTCTCTGGCGGTACCTATCTTAGTACGGTACCCCTTACGGTAGGGGGGTCCCATCCATACGGTAGGGGGGTCCCGTGCGTACGGTACCTAGGTACCTTATGACCATTTTGACAATTTTTTTATTTTTGTCCAAATCATTTCCAAATTTGTTTAAAACCTTTTGGATGTTTGAAAATGATTATAAAAGGGTTTTAAACATGTTTTGTGAGTGTTTTTGAGCTTGTGAATATAGGTATATAAAATCATATCCTTACATTGGTTTCTACCTATATTCTATGCTAGTTTAGTGTTTCGACTTCATTCTTGTGTACCGAATCTTAATGGATTCTTGTTTTTCCTGAAACACTTAAACAAACGTTAAGCTCTTATATTGTTTGTTAACATCAAAACATGAGGCTTAGCAAACCAAGGCTAACAGAGTCATCACAAATTTACACCAATTGAGATTGGCGTTGTGAATCATCGCATGAATTGTCTTCGTGTCCTCCTGGGAGAGTGGTGTGATTGAACTTCCTAGGCTTGAGAATCTGTGTCAAAACATAAAAAATGAATCGAAACACGGGACTTATGTAAGCAATCGTAGGGCGCCGCTTTTGGGAAGTGGGGACGAAGTTTCGGATGCCCACTTCCTCCAAGAGGGCGGTCTCGTTGAACCGCGCTCCTTCTTCTCCGATGTAGAGCCCGAGATCCTGTCCGTCCCGATGAAACCCGGTGAGGATTTGAATCCTTTCCTCATTCAAATAGATGTCCACCCCATTGACGTTAGAAATCAACGCTCCGTCCTCATCCTTTTTCAAATTCGAGTAGAAAGCTCGAACAAGAAAAGGGTGGTAATGAGCCTTCTTGATGTAGAGGAGGTCGAGGAAGTTTCCACATTCGAGGATAACCCGTGTCTCACATGGAATGGAATCATGAATGAAGCGGGCGGTGGAAAATCGGGGAGGGAGAATTTCCCGGTGCTCAAACTTCTCCGAGAACCGCGTCGCCTCTGCGCGGTCGTTGAACCAAAGGAACGACCCATCGAGGTACTTGTGCGCCGGTGGTGGAGGAGCTGAGGAGGAGGCGGCGTTCTTGCCGCGTTCACTAAGTCCGTCGATGGTGACGTTGGTGATGCCGATAGATTCTTGAATGGCATCGGCCTTGGAACGCCACTCCGGTGTGAGGCCCCTTAAAATTTTTCTTACGAGCTCCTTGTCCGTATATGTCTTCTTGAGGGCATGAAGGTCGTTTACGATTTTTAAAAATCATTCAAACATATCGTCGATTTTCTCGTTTTCCTTCATACGAAATAATTCATACTCATGGGTTAGAAAATCTATTTTAGCTTTTCGGACTTGATTCGTACCTTCATAAGTGATTTTGAGCTTATCCCACATATCCTTAGCGGTGGAACAACATGAAATTTTCCGGTAGTCATCCGGATTTACTGCACAATAAAGAATGTTGATAGCCTTGGCGTTGTACTCTATTTTCTTGATATCCTGCGCATCGTATTCGTCTTCGGTTTTGGGAACGGTGGTTTCCCCAACTTTTTTCATGGGCACTTCTTCCCCATTCTTGATAATTCTCCATAGGAGAAAGTTGTTGGATTGGATGAAAATTCTCGTTCGCTCCTTCCAATATGTGTAATTCGTTCCATCAAATAATGGAGGCCTCGTGGTGGATTGCTCTTCTCCTAAACCTGCGTATAAATTTTGAGTAGAAGCCATTGATCGTTTCTCTCAAACGGTTAAGTCTTTCAGAGAGTATGGCTCCGATACCAATTGTTAGAATAAAGGCCCAACGCTAGAGGGGGGGTGAATAGCGTTTAAAACAAAATTGCAGGAAATTAAAACGAGAGCGTTAAAGTAAAGAGCGTAAGGAAGGAGCACACCGAATTTTATCCTGGTTCACCACAACGTGTAGCTAATCTAGGGGTGTATACGAATCGAATCGAAGCAAATATATCACTATTCGATTCGTATTCAATTAAAGTGATATGTATTCGAATTCGGATTCGTATATAATTCGAATTTTAAAAAACATTCGTATTCGATTCGATAGATATTTGACGTATTTGAATTCGTATTCGAATTCGAAAATACTAGTAATTTTTTTCTTAAAACAAATTTCTTAAAGACATTAAATTATTATTTTATAATAATGTAAAATGTAATAAAAATATGTTAGAATATAAATAAATTTATTTATAAATTATAATATTCGAATATATATAAATTTATATGTACACAAAAAATTAATATATTAAAATATGTTAAAATATGTACACAAATATTTAATATATTAGAATATATATAAATTTATTTATAAATTATAATATTCGAATAATTTGAATAATAAACGAATCGAATCTATTAATATTTGTATTCGAATTCAGAAAATAATTCGAATTTAAAATATGATTTGTATTCGGATTCGAATTCGAATATAGCGAATACGAATCATCCTTTTCGAATACGAATCACGAATCGAATACATTTTATTTGATTTGTATGCACCCCTAGCCTAATCCAGCCTTTCGAGAGACTCTCTCGAGTTACACTAACTCTGTTAAGCTTAAGGGTGCTCAACCAACCGATACAACTTGAGAACTCGTGTCACACGAGCCTCAATGCCTTTGCTCGGAGATACCGCACTCCAAGACTTCTCACGAGAGAACAAGGAACTTCCTTCGAGTTTACAACAAGGGAACAAACTCCCTTAAAGTGTATGAAAACACTTAAACACTCAGGAATAAAACTCTCACAAAGAGTAGATATGAGTGAACTAGTAAACGCTCAAGAACACGACAATTTCTTGAAGAATTGGCTCTCAATTTGCTAAGAAAAATAGGAATGCTTGTGCAATGAAATATTATTGAAATGTTGAAGAATTCTGTGTAAAATGAGAGGATTTGGGTGCCATTTTATAGCTCAAAATGGGATAAACCCATTGCTAGAGTTTCCAACAGGATGAAGACAAATTTTTCAGAGACACAGGGTGATAGTCGATTTTCAAAGCTTGATAATCGATTATCCAAAGATTCCGTGTCCAAAAATTTAAAATTCTATCCGTTGGAGGACAACGGTAACCCACATAATCGATTGTCAACAAGTGATAATCGACTATTGGTCCTGTCAGAAGATTCTGGGTTTTGGCTGCACAGACTGATAATCGATTATTGCAAATGTGATAATTGACTATTGCCTGCTTCACAACTTTGGAGTTCAAAGCTGCAGAGGCAGATAATCGATTTTCACCAAAGTGATAATCGATTATCACCTAGCTAAAGTCTAGCTAGCTGAAACCCGTTTTAAAAACCGAGGTCCAAAAACGAAGTGTTCCCAAAAGTAAAAACCAGATTAGAAAAACATTGTATATGGTATAAATAGTGAAAACAAGACTTGTTCAGTAAAAACCAAGTCTCCAAGGTCATACATCACGTGCGTACGGTTTTGATCGTTTTTCACGTGTTAGACCGATTGACCAAGATACAAAAGTGGTTTTTATAAAATAATTTTTTGGGAACATTTTAAAAATTCTCAGAGGTAAAAATAGGGTTTAAAATGATGAAAACCACGGAGTTGGTTCGGGCACCAAAAACCGAACGTTGAAAGCCGAACGCCGAACGCCGACCTAGGTGGTTTAGGTTCCGAGCAAGGACCAGGGATTTTAACAATAAAGAATCATCAAAAATATTTATTTTGATGCACAAAAATATTTTATGATTTGTAAAAATTGTTTTGACTCTTTGAGAACCGAGACTTGAATTTATTGTCGGTTTTGATCACAAAAGACCGACTCGACTAAGTCTTCAATTCTTGATCTAGTCCTTGAGTCTTTTTGGTCTTGTTCCAAGCCATTCTTCACGCCTTGAGTTATTCAACGAAACTTTTCATATCCACGGCGGTTTGGCAATTATCAAAACCTGTCAGAAATGAACACGACTTTAGTTTATCGTACAAAGTGTGTTCCAACACAATCTTCTTCATTTCTTCACCATTCTCCCTCAAATTTCTTCTGAGAGTTAGCCTTGAGTGTAAGGAGTGTTGTGGCGTTGTAAATTTGGTGTGGAATCGCCGGAGCTAAGAGTAATGATCGCCGGAAGTTACGCCAAAAAATTATCAAAACCCGCGTTAAATTTCGAGGTAAGCCCGTAGATATATTTAATGACTAGAATGTTCATATAGGTCGTTTCTACATTCATAAATGGTCATTTGGTTGAGTTTTGTGTTTGACATGCTTGAAGAACAAAGAATTACAAACCATGATTTTGATGTTAAAACTATGAATTAATGATGCCAAAAATGATCTATGAACCTTGGTGAACACTTTCATATACTTTAATTGAAGTTTGGTGAGTAAAAATGACTTTTCTGTAAGTTGACTCGAGGTAGAAGACGATGAATAATTGATAATTAACTTGAAAATTGATTATTTATCGTTCTGCAGATTTTTGGAACACAACAGAGCAACAGTCGATTGTCAGAATGTGACAATCGACAGTTAGGCCTCTCTTAAGTTGAATTGGAAGCTGATAATCGATTATCACAATGTGATAATTGACTATCAGCCCATTCTAAACATTAGATAGTAGATTATAAGAAGTGATAATATATAGACTATCTCCCAACTCGGTTGAAGAAAATGAAGCCAGTAGCTAATAAATCATATATTAATCAATTATTCTTTAGAAAATATGATTTTTGAACTATGGAATCCTATTTTTAATACCAATTAATTATGAACAACATAAATATGATTTTGTATAATAGAAATAATGTTTTGGCATATAAAACATTATGTGATGCATGACGGTAAGTTTGGGTGTTAACACTCGAAACTAGGCCGCTGTTTGTTATTAAATGTTATGTTAAATGGTCATTATGATGAATAATTATTATGAATAATTATGCATGATAAACCTACTGATTAGAATGATTATTGATGATTAAATCATGATTAAAAATGAATATAATGGTGATCATGAAAATGGTGTATATTGTTAAGGATATCTAGAAGAACTCTAATTAGAAATATTGCATTGGCTTAGACTAGGAATAGCTAAGATCTTGTTATGAAATGATTTGGCCTTAGATTAAGGATACCTTAAGAGCACTTTTGAGATATTGAATATTGTATATATCATGAAATGACTTGAAATAAATATTGACAATATCATGAATGTTTGAATTAAATATTATGTGCATGATATCAAATGGTTGGTTAAGAATTGAGATTCAATTTATGTGAATGTTCGATGCTTTAGATATGCTTACTCCGCTTCACCGTTGAGCGTGTAGTGTGTTTTATTTGCTACACGCAGGTAGATAGAATGAATGATTGGCATATTCCTGACAGCGGAAGGGGCGAGACAGTCGTGGTGGATTTATTGACAAAATAAATAATTATGTTTGTTATGAGACATGTTTAAAACTCGCTTCCGTATTATTATTAAACACTCCGTAATTTCTACAGTTATGTATGGAATTTTATTTATGACTTATGATGAATGAAGTTATTTGAAATGTTTAAAATTATACGATTACCAAGTTAATACTTTAGTCCAAAAGGGGCTGCAGACCTGGACGCATTAGGGTGTTACAATTTGGTATCCGAGCAAATGGTTTTAAACCCGATCTTCGGATCAAAGTCTGATTTAAAAATATATTATATATATATATTTCTCGTAAAAAAAATTTTTTACATCCACGACTCTCGTATCTCTCTGCTCCAGGAAAGGTAATGAGAATTTATTTGATAAATATTGACTGTGTTAAATTCTCATTAGATAACAATTGTTAGTACTATACTGAAATAGGCTCAGTCAAACTTTCGTACTCGGTAAAGAAACGAAAGAATAAACAAAAAATATATGACTTGCTGATACGTTATTAACGTACGCATCGCATCGCGAATGACGAAATCGATCTGCATCGCAAAGTCGCATGGAAGTGAGATGACTCTGAAGAAACGATTTATGTAGAACAACATCTGTGAAGCTGATATCGAAAGATCCTCGTGAGGATTCAATACGACCCGATCATTGACTCAAAACGCAAGAGTTGAATTAGTAAACCCTATCGTGTCTCCCAATCTCTCTTGATTGTTCACAATCGAAGCCACTATTGTGTACCCTCGTGACGTCTGTTAACTTACCTATTCAAATAAAGCATCCTAATGAAGGAATATCTACTATTTGTAGAATGAGTCAAGAAATTGCTCGCGGACAAGATAACCAAGTGCCAAACAATGGACACACAACGGTTCATATTGAAATAATAAATTTCACTATTGTTGTCCGAAACGGAGCAGACAATCAAATTATCCACCGAGATATTGAAGGTCAATCCAGTACTAGTTCAAGTATCAAACCAGTTATTAAGGGAAAGAAACCTTTGATTAGAACTTGTAGTGCCCCGCACTTGAAAAGAAGAAAGCCTCTCGCAACTCAACACAAATTGAGGGTGTGGAAGCATCCGAAGTGCAACATTTGTAAACGGCACCACCCGGGAGAATGTTGGATGGCACAAGGATTATGTATAGGTTGTGGAAAAGCTGGGCATTTCCGAAAAGAATGTCCTACGAATCCTGAAAAACCAACGCCAGTCTATATTAACCCGACTTGCACGAGGAGGAAATAATCCACAAACGAACTCATGCACATCTGTATGCTGTGAAAGTTGTGTTGAAGAACATCCTGATGTCAACATTAATATGTTTCCTTATTCAATAAAATTATGCATGTATTGATCCGGGATTTACAATATCTTATATCTATGTAAATACCATATGAAATAACTCTCCGTTGAGATTGAAGAATTTCTTATCAAAGAATCATCTAATCAAGTGTTTTCTCTTGAATACCTATTTTGTTCATACGCGAGTACAGAAGAATCGACAAGACTCTGTA